AGGATTTAAATCTGTGCCACATAAACAAATAACTTAAAATCCTCTACTTAAATGCTTCATCAATTTAAAAATCATACCAAAAATATGTTTTTGCCTGAAGACAGTTGGCCAGACTAGAAGCAATTTTGAAGTCCACTTGAGCTCCAAGAGTTCTATTTCTGTGATAAAACCACTCAAACACATAGAAAATATCATACATTTATTATCCCTTTTCAAACAAGTCCATTTTTTTCCTAAACACACTTACGGGAAATACTCTGCTCTTTTTTGTTTGGGCAATCTGGGGAGGATTACCATGGTTTCTGTGGCCTCCTGGCCACTTTCTGTACATTAGCTTGGCCACGAGATCATCCGAAGTCAATACTGTCAGCTCTCTGGATGTATGACCCTCAGCATGCATTCCCCATAGAAGCAGTGAAAGTTGTTTTCAAGGGTGACATAATCTTAGATATTGCATTTGTTTGTGGCAGGCTAAAGGACCACAGTACATGAACAGATATAAGGTATATCTGTGATATTAATGAGGGAAGATTAGGAAAATAAACCTTAAAGTTCTTTGTGTAAGATGGACAATAATACAAAAAGGTTGAGAAACACTGTCTTAGGGCAAGGATTCCTTGAGAATTTAAGATCTGATAGACAGGACTCTGATGCATCAAATACAATATGTTTTTAAAGTTTTTTTCTTTTTTTTGAGACAGAGTCTCGCTCTGTGGCCAGGCGCCAGGCTGGAGTGCAGTGGCGCGATCTTGGCTCACTGCAACCTCTGCCTCCCGGATTCAAGCAATTCTCTTGCCTCAGCCTCCCAAGTAGCTGGGACCACAGGTGTTCACCACTATGCCCAGCTAATTTTTATATTTTTTTAGTAGAGATGGGGTTTCACCATGTTGGCCAGGTTGGTTTCAATCTCTTGACTTCATGATCCGCCTGTCTCAACCTCCCAAAGTAAGTTTTAAAGTATTTAAAGTGTAACTTCTCCTTCTTTCCTCTAATCTACCACAGGACACTTTTTGCATTATTTTAACATTTTAAAATTCAATATATTACAATATATAAAACTCAATTTATATGAAGGTTCTTCTTGTAAAAAAAGACATATTTGAAAATGACTCTCTTTTTGGAGGTCAGACTCATAATACAAACGTTGCCAGGACAGAAGGATTTCTGTCTTTTGGTCTCCCTTCCTGTGGTCAGGGGATGTTTCTTCAGTATTACATCTAGTGTTCTACTGATAACAAAATATTCTGTATATACTGTATTGTAAAGCCTCCTGAAACAGGGACATGGGAGTCTAGTTTTTAAATGTTTACTGAGTCTGGGCAACTCACAGAAGATGTTATTTGTTGGGTATGGCAATATGCCAGCAAGATCTAGCAGAAGGCAGTGGAAGGAAAGCCACTGGGCACCAGAAAGACACACACGTCCATCCCAGATTTGCTTTAGAATATCCTTTCCAAGGGGGCAAGTTGCTTAATACCCTTCAGCCCCAGTTTTCTAATCTGTCAAACAAGGATACAAATGACTACCTCGTAGGGTGGTTAAAAGATTTGAGATAATGGATATCAGGTGGCTGCAACTTGCTGTTTCTGAGTGAGGTGATAAGAATGAAGTAAACAGCAATTGGGTAGAAGAGACCAAGGCACTCGGTGGACCTATTTTGCCAGACTTCACAAACATCCTGTTTGGAACCCTGCTGCTGCCATTGCAATCCTCTTTTGCTCACAGAGTGTAGTCCCTGCCAAGTTTAAACAAACTCCAAAGGATTATTGGTAGCTTGCAAAGTAAGATTTCGTCTTTTCATCAATGAAGAGTATTGTGGATGGGCAGAGATACAAGCAAGAAGCAGCATTTCTCCTGCTCCATGAAAATATGATTTATACCTTTAATGAAAAAGTCAGGGGCTTGTGCAGGCACAACAGCTGTGATTTTATGAAGGGACAATAATCCAGAATTCCATGTGGTGGGGCTGCTGCCACAAGGGGTCAGATCTGGATTATTGATGGAGGCTGGCATCATCCCACAGTGACACAAGCATGATTGGATATCACATAACTTGAAATAACTGGCAATTGTTTTAGGTGAGAAAAGCTTAAGCAAGAGCAAACCAGACCAACTCAAGTAAAGGCTTCAGCTTCTTTGATCTGAGGCTGACTTACTGAATGCCTGGAGCTGGAACAGAAGAAGGAATATGGTTATCTTTGAAGCTTACACTGCTTGCTGGTTGCCCACTCAACAGATGTGAGCAGTTTAGCTGTCACCATAAATCAAGGGCTCCCGACAATGTTATAAATAGGGATGGGTAAATATTTTGGATTCATTAGCCTGCAAGTATTCTTCAGATGTCTTGGGTTCAGATAAACAGAATACATCGTGCAGAACACATACCCTTCTTGATTTTTTTAGGACCGTTTGTGATTTATGGAAAATAGAATTCATATGTTTCTGCTTCATTTACACTTAAATCATCAAAAGGTTGTGTGTTGTAAGAGCTATTTGATGTCCAAGATGCCTCTGCGCATGCTTTAAAATAAATACAAGCAGCTTAAAAGTTTCGGTCCCTCAAAAAGACGAGAGGGAGGGAGGGAGGGAGAGAGAGAGAGAGAGAGAGAGAGAGAGAGAGAGAGAGAGAGAGAGAAAGGGAGAGAGAGAGGGGGAGACAGAAGGAGAGAGAGACAGAACGCCTAAGAATGCCTGTTTTGCCAAGATGAAATACATTTGAACACCAGGAAGTTCAATTTAGGCTGAAACTACAAACCCATGAAATAAAAATGAGTTCAGAATTTGGGAAGAAACGAAGGCTCCACTCCAGCCAGTTTTAGAAGCAGCTTCGATGAATGCAGAAAAGCAGCTGTCACCTCGGCCACCGCACCAGGGAAGAGAGGGCCGTGAGTGCACCCTTAGCTACAGCTAACAATGCTTGCAAGCTCTGTTATTTTGGGGCCTCCTGAGAGTTGCTCCAGCTGGAATAAAGACTCTGTCCTGCTTTAGCTCAGAAATATCCACTCTCGTGATGTTTTCCTATGGTTGTCCTGCTGTAGGCCAGCACTTCCTGTCTCTTCTTCTGCCATCTGGCCCAGATAGCCAGCCACTGGACTGAATATTGGGTGTGTATTTGGGATGATGTTTATTTATTGGGCACTTTCTTTAGAGAAAGATCACATTAGGCTGACAATAGGGCCGATAAAACATGCAGTTTGTAGAAAGTGAAAGTGTGATAACTAAGGGCTGCAGGTTAGTAAAAGGCAACATGTTAAACAAAGTTTTCTTGTCCCCATCTCAGTATTTACTAACTGATACAACGTCAGTTCTATGTTATTGTATGCATGTAGTATTATTTTTATATGGTATCATAATTTCAGAAGCATCTAAATTGGAAACATATTATCTCATAAATTAGATATCTAGAATAGTTAGATTATATATGTAGGATCTAGATTAGACGCCTAGAATAGTTAGATTAGATATATAGAATAGTTAGAAGAGTTAGGATGTGAAACTTTACTGTCTCTTGGGATCTCTCACTTGTTTGGCCTGAAGAGTCACTTGGGCAGAATTAAGAGTCCTGTGAATTACCTCCATATCCCAATTACATTATCTGGGACAAGGGGGAGGGTTTTGCAATATTAGAGGTCAAGTTTGTTGTTGTTGTTGTTGCTGTTGTTTTGCTAACGCCTAAGGAACATTCAGTAAAATATTCCTTAATCTCACCACCCATACGTAACCACTGTTAATGTTGGGGCATATATTCTTTGAGCTAATTGTGTGTTTGTGTGCACACAAACATCATGAGCACACACAAAGAATTTAATGAGATTATACTATCTATTCTGTTTTGTAGCTTCTCTTTTTCATTTAGCAATATATTGTAAACTTTTTCCCAGGTAAGCTGTTGCATCATAAACTTTAATGCTTTCAGAGTATTTCATTGTGGAATTGTACTACAATTATCTTACTATCTTACTATTAGTATATATATATACTAATACTATACATATACTAATACTAGTTTATATATTATACTATATATAAACTATATATGTAGTTTATGTATATATATAAACTATATATGTAGTATACTAATAGTTTACATATATATATGAACTATATATGTAGTATACTAATACTATATATATAGTTCATATATATATACATAAACTATTTATACACACACACACACACACACACACACACACATATATATATATATATATATATATATATATATATATGACAGGGAGTTTATTAAGACATATTGACTCACATGTCACATGATCACAAGGTGAAGTTCCACAATACGCCATCTGCAAGCTGAGGAGTAGGGAAGTCAAAACCTCAAAAGTCCGGGAGCCAACAGTCCAGCCTTCAGTCTGTGGCCAAAGGCCTCAGAGTCCCTGACAAACCACCGATGTAAGTTCAAGAGTCCAAAAACTGAAGGCGTGGGGTCCAACGTTCCACAGCAGGAAGGATCCAGCATGGGAGAAAGCTGAAGACCAGAAGACTCAGCAAGTCAAGTCCTTCCACCCTTTGCCTGCTTCTTTATTCTGGCCATGCTGGCAGCTGATTACATGGTGTCCACCCAGATTGAAGGTGGGTCTGCCTTTCCCAATCCATTTACTCAAATGTTAATTTCCTTTGGCAACACCCTCACAGACATACCCAGGATCATCAACACTCTGCATCTTTCAGTCCAATCAACGTGACACTCAGTATTAACTGTCACAGAATTTTTTAAAGTCTCTAGAAAAGATCAATAAGATAATAAGTAAATATTGTTTTCTTTTCTTCCTTAAAAAATAAAAATAAAAAGATGTGTTCCTACACCAAGAAGAGCCTTGTGACTTAAATTTATCTGTCCCTGTTGGTTGCTCAGTCCATCGGTCAAGTTCTGGAGTCAATTTAAAAGAAAGCTGAGAACCATACCTACTTTGCTCTCTATTTCCCATCAGTTACTAGAGAACTCAGTCCCGTCCCTTCTGTTGACAGGTTGCCAGGATACATCCAGGCGACAAAGGCTGTGGTTCCTGTTACTCAGCAGCCTCACAAACACACCAACTCCTGCAAGAAGGGACGTGAATCTTGGAGTTCCTAGCTATTCTGTTCCTGTTTCCATCAGCCCCTTCCCTGAAAACTCAGAGGTGCTCAGCATGCCATGCTAAAAGCCAAAATAAAAAGGTAAAGAACAAATGTCACAAGGTGAGGCTCTCACAGGGTGCGTACATTCTATGTTGTCTGGTAGGTCTTAAATCTCAAACCTTTCAACTAATAACACCTGCCTCTCTTAGATATTCTTGGTCTCTTCCATTGGCATCTCACAAGTATTCAGTAAATATTTCCTTGCTATAGAAAAGAAATCCAAATGATAATAATAATTAGTTCTTAAGTGAAAAATATCAAATACTACTAAACAAAACAATAAATATCATTTTACTTCTTTGGATGCTGGCAATGTTGAGTGAATGATGGATTAAATGTTCTGATACCTAAAAGATAATAAAATTGTATTTGAAAGAATGGTTTTTAAAATAATTTTCTTCAAAGAAAAGTAGATAAAATAGGGTTTTAACATTAATTCAGAACTATATGTTTATTGGCCAGATTATCCATGATAAAGAAAAGGGGTGTTAAAGTCCATAACTGCTCAATTGGCTTGGCTGGTAGTTTTTAATTATTTGGGATAAAATCTATCTGGAGAAAATTGTAACCAGTTTTGAGTTCTTAAATTCAAGTTTCTAAAATCAATGAGTTGAACTCACTGTCACGGTCACCTCAGTCAGGGCCCAGGACATTTCCTTCACCCCAGCATGTTTCCTCACATCCTTTCCAGCCAATCTCTCCGCCATAGTGGCCACTGTTTTGACTTCTATCCCTAAATAATAGTTGGCCATTCATGAATTTTATATGAACAGAATGATACCTTATATAGTATATTGTTGGACTGACATCTTTGACTTAGCAGAATGTTTTCCAGACATTTCAATGTGGCTTTTTAAATCAGTAGCACAATTCTTTTCAAAGGTAAGCATAATTGCATTATATGCTTATTTTACATTTGTTTATCTATTGATTGGTATTTGGTTTGTTTCTAGTTTGGGCTTCTTATAGCTAAAGCAGCTATAAGCATTCTTGCACAAGTCACTTTTCTCCTAATTTTATTATGTCTAATTTTTTTCCAGCTTTATTGAGGTATGATTGACAAAAATCACATATATTTGGGATGTATCATGAAATGTGTTGATATATGTAGACATTGTGCAATAATTACCATAATCGAGCTAATTAAAATACTCATTATATCACATAGTTACCTTTTTTTGGTGTGGTGAGAATGTTTGGGATCTACTATCTTAGCACATTTTAGTTATTATTAATTATAACAATTATTTATTATAGTAATGATGCTGTACATTAGGTTTCCAGAATTTACTCATCTTATAGCTGAAGGTTTATACACTTTGCCCATCTTCCCTTCACCTCATCCCCCTCCCATGGTAACTACTATTGTACTCAACAGGCAGGTATATGAAGATGCTCACCAACACTAATCATCAGGGAAATGCAAATAAAAATCACAATGAGATATTACCTTACATTTGTGAGAATGGCTGTTATCAAAAAGACAAAAGATAACAAGTGTTGGCAAGAATGTGGAGAAAAGGGAACCCTTATACATTGTCGGTGGGAATGTAATTTAATACAGCCATTATGGAAAACAGTATGGAAGTTCCTCAAAAATCTAAAAATAGAATTACCATCTGATCTAGCAATCCCACTGCTGGGTAGACATCCAAAGAAAATGAAATTAGCGTATTAAAGATATATCTGCACTCCCTTGTTCATTGCAGCTTTATTCACAACAGTCAAGATACGCGAACAAATTATTAATCAACAGATAAATGAATAGAGAAAATGTGGTATAACATACAATAGAATATTATTGAACTTTAAAAGAGAAGAAAATCCTGCTATTTTCAACAACATGGACGAATCTTGAGGACGTTATATGAAGTGACATAAGCCAGATAAGGAAAGACAAAAACTATATGATCTCACTTACATGTGGGAAAAGAAGCCCGTATGTTTTTACTTATTCTAGATTCAAACCCAGGAGTGAAAATAATGGGTGATAGGGTAGATATTTGTAATAAGTATGGAATAATATGTCACAATGGTCATAATTTGCATATTCCTGGTGACTAATGGAGTACTTTACATGAGCTTCCAGGAGATTTGTATCTTTTAAAAAATTATCTATTCACACCTTTTACCCATTTAAAATAATTCTTTTTCTTTTTAATGTTTTCTTTGTTGATGTATAACTCACATACAATAAAATGCACCCATTTTAAGGACACAATTTGATGAGTTTTGACAAATAATTACATCTATGGAACCAACAAAGTATAAATATAGAAAATGTCCATTAACCTTTGTAGTCAATTTTCCATTCATGCACCTACCCACCAAGCAATCACTGATATAGTTTCTGTCACTAGAGATTAGCTTTGCCTATTCTAGGGTTTTATATAAATGAAATCATTGAGTATCTATAGTTCTTTTGCATTTGAATTTTTCAGCAGCACAATTTTCACAGGTATCCATGTAGTGTATATTAGTACTTTGTTCATTTGTATTGTGAAACAATATTCTATTGTATGAATATGTCATAATTTTGTATCCATTTATCTGTTGATGCATATTTATGTTATTTCCAGTTTTTTACTACTATGAGTAAAGCTACTGTAAACATTTGTATATGACTTTAGTGGACATATACTTTCATTTTTCTTAGGTAATTATTTAAAATGTCAATATCATTGGGTAGGTGTAGGTTTAACTTTATAAAGTTAAAATTTTAGACAATCCAATTTTTAAATATATGTGTCTTGCAAACATTTCTTCCCAATCTATATCTTGCCTTGTAATTTTCTTAATTTTTTTTAATGTGCAGAAGTTTATAACTAAAAGAAAGTGTGATTTGTCATATTTTCCTTGCATACTTAGTTCTTTTGTGTTTTGTCTAACACAAAATATTTGCTTATACTAGGATCATAAATATTTTTCTCTTCTTAAAGCCTTATCATTTTTGCTTTTATATTTAGTTCCATGAGCCATCTTTATTTAATTTTTGTGTGTAGTGAAAGTAGGGAGTTGCCGGGCACAGTGGCTCATGCCTGTAATCCCAGCACTTTGGGAGGCCAAGGTGGGTGGATCACGAAGTCAAGAGATTGAGACTATCCTGGTCAACATGGTGAAACCCCGTCTCTACTAAAAATACAAAAATTAGCTGGGTGTGGTGGCACACGCCTGTGGTCCCAGCTACTCGGGAGGCTGAGGCAGAAGAATTGCTTGAACCCAGGAGGCGGAGGTTGCAGTGAGCTGAGATTGTGCTACTGCACTCCAGCCTGGTGACAGAGCAAGACTCCATCTCAAAAAAAAAAAAAAAAAAACTAAGGAGTTGATGGTTTATCCCTACGTGCATCCAGTTGTTCCACTCTCATTTGTTAAAAAGATTTTCCTCTCTCCATTTAATTGTCTTGGTATCTTCATTAAAAATGAATTGACCATTGACCATGTATGTAAATTGACCATATGTTTCTGGACTATCTATCTTGTTACATGAATCTATTTGTCTATCCTTATGGGCATATTAATTTTAAGAAGCCAACTTATGTTATTTGAATACCTGAATCAAGTATTCAAAATAAATATGGAAGTTGAGTCCTCCCATGACTGCTTGCCAGTGAACCATACACAAGAATTAGGGTCAGGTTGGGCAGTCCTTCTTGCATGTTGCCCAAATGTTTCCTGAGGCAATAACCTGATTTTAAGTGATTCTGTAATAAACAAAAGCCAAAAATATAGTTACAGTTATAAACCTATTCATAACCCATAATCCCAGTGGAAAAAAATATGTATTTTTCCAGTGCATTAATAAAGAATGTAACTTGAACTTAATTTTTTTATTTATTAATTTATTAAATAATTTATTGAGTGTCTACTATATTCCAGACACTATTCTAGACAGAAAAAAGCAGGAGGAGAATATTTATTTGTTCATAATTTCTACAAGGAAACATTATTTATAACATCTACTCTGTTGTCTGTTTAATAATATATTTCTCACAATTACAGCAAAAAATCTATACCTGGTAAAATAAGTATCAGATTAAATGTCATCACATATTCTTACAAATTGACAGAAAATGATCAACATACAAATGTTAACTAAGAAAAAATATTTTCCTGCCTTTCCAAATCTTGCTGTCACTTCAGCTATTTCTTTTGGGCCTAACAGGTAAACTATTATTTCTATCAGCTGCATTTTCCAGCTTATTTTATTTCATTGATTCATTGATTCATTCATTTCTTTTAGAAAAGATCTTGCTCTGTTACCCAGACTGGAGTGCAGCAGCACAATCACAGCTCACTGCAGCCTTGACCTCCTGGGCTCAAGTGATCTTCCTACCCCAGTCCTCCAAGTAGCTAGGACTACAGCCATACACCACCATGTCTGGCTATTATTTTTTATATTTGTAGAGATGAGATCTTACTATATTACCCAGGCTGATATTGAACTCCTGAGCTTAAGCAATCCTCCCACCCTGACTCCCAAAGTGCTGAGATTACAGGCATGAGCCATAGCACCCAGCTGCAGCTTATTTTAGAATTTAAATCCTATCTATTATTTCTTTTTTCTTTTTTTTTTTTTTTTTTTTTTTTTTTGCACATCCACAACATTTATTTTGTAAAGAAATGGATTTTGAGAGAAAACAACGTGGCGCAGAAACATGGAATAGAAAATAAATACAAACGTAGGCTATTTTGCTAATTGTTTTATAACCACCACAAACCAGTACAGAGAATGCCCTGTACAAAAAACAAAGGTTCAAACATCAAGGTGTTCCCTTAGCAAGGCTGAAATTTTCAGTCTCTGGCATTTGGAATTTAGGCTGCAGTCCTTGTTTTTGGATGGATCACTGGGTGTGTGGCACAACAGTCCATGCTTTTTTTTTTTTTTTTTTTTTTTAATGAGATGGAGTCTCACTCTGTTGCCCAGGTTGGAGTACAATGGCCTGATCTCAGTTCAACACAACCTCCACCTCCCAGGTTTAAGTGATTCTCCTGCTTCAGCCTCCCGAGTAGCTAGGATTACAGGTGTGCACCACCACGCC